GGGATGTCTCCCAGATTGGGGCTCCTCAGGGGTTTCAGGGACCCACTTGAGCAGGGAGGTTCTTGTCCTTTTCTCAGATCTCAACCTCCTGTGTTGGGAGATCCACTGCTCCTCTTCAAAGCTGTCAGGGGACATGAGTCATTTGTGTCTGCAAAGGTTTCTGCTTGGCTTTGTTGTTGTGTTGTGTTGTTTTGTTGTTGTTTAGGCTGTGCCCTGTCCCCCAGAGGGTGGAGTCTACAGAGACTGGCCAGGCCTCCTTGAGCTCTGTGAGCTTCCACCCAGTATCGATCTTCCCAGGGCTTTGTTTACCGACTTAAGCCTCAAGCAATGGCGGGCGCCCCTCCCCCGCAGCCTGGCTGCTTGCCTTGGCTGGTAGATCGCAGACTTGTTGCTAGCAATGAAGAAGGCTCGTGAGCGTGGGACCTCCTGGCCAGTGTGGGATATTATCTCCAGGTGTGCCTGTTTGCTTAAAGGCGCGAGTATTGGGGTGGGAGTTACCGATTTTTCCAGGTGTCTGTGTGTCTCAGTTCCCCTGGGCTAGGAAAAGGGATTCCCTTTCCCCTTTCGCTTCCCAGGTGAGGCGATGCCTCGCCCCCTGCTTCAGCTTCTAGCTGGGTCGGCTGCAGCAGGCTGACCAGCACGCATGCCGAATTATTCGGCACTCCCTAGTGAGATGAACCCAGTACCTCGTTGAAAATGCAGAAATCACCTGTCTTCTGTGTCATTCGCGCTGGGAGCTGGAGACTGGAGCTGTTCCTATTTGGCCACCTTGCTCCGCTTCGCTCAAGTGATCTTTCTTTCTGTCTCAACCTCCTGAGTAGCTAAAACTACAGGTATGCACAGCTATGTGTAGCTAATTTTTATTTTTATTTTTAGTAGAGGTGAGGTCTCCCTATGTTGCCCAGGCTAGCCTTGAATTCCTGGGCTCAAGCTATCCCCCTCCTTGGTCTCCCAAAGTGTTGGGATTATAGGTGTGAGCCACTGCATCCGGCCCATGTTTGTTGCCTATAACCTGAGATGTACCCCGCCCCACCCCTGCTACCACCTTCAGGAATCTTATTAGATATAGTATGAAAACGAGAAAAGGAATGATGTCTTAGCAATTTTTTAAAGGAGAAGCTAAAAGCTAAAGTAATTATAGTATATGATAGAATGTTGTATTTTAGGCACTGTCATTTTGATAAAAAATGGAATTAGGGACCATTGTAAATGCTTACATGTTCGCAGTGAGTGGTCCTGGCTGCATTATTTATGGGAGGATGTTTTACAGATAAGAAGTAGCATTTGATGCAATTGTGACTTGCATCTATCATCCATAAAATCTTGATTTTGTTTTCAGATTTGTTTTCAGTTTCACAAATAAAAATGAATCAAATTGAAATTTAAGGAGAAAGCTCCAAAGAAACCTTTTTGATTAAATCTATCAGAAGGGATAGCACTGTGGCCATTTAGCATTTGATGGTAAATTCCAATTTCTGTTGACCTTGCCGATAGGTTTATGTTTGATATATCTAATTTTCTGAAGTGTTTTCAAAGACGTGGGCGTTTTGATTACAAATATTCTCACAAAACTTTCCAGACGTCTTTTTAAGGAACTTTAAAACTAATTTAAGAAGACACTATAGCAAAAAGCAGTTATTACAGAGGGAAAAAAAAGTATTTGTTATTTGAATTTGAACTTCAATTTGAACTTCAAAGCTAGAATTGTTCTTATAAAAGGACAAAGTTTTCTCCTGGTTAATCTACTTTTTAGATAGAGTAAGATGAGATGGGGTATTTGTAATGTAAATGGTTATGGTTAAAGAAACGTTATATAACAAAGTAAGAGCCTGGCGTGGTGGCTCACAGCTGTAATCTTCAGGAGATCTCCAGATCTCCTGAAATTATACATGTAACGATCTCAGCCGTGTTCTTTCATTTGCAAGACACATTAGGTAAGGCTTGTAAGATTGAAGGACTTAGTTAAACTTTTTAAGTTGACATGGGTAAGTTTGATTATGTGTTATCAGCTAAAAGTATCATAAAATATACTTTTACACAGGTAAAGCAAACTGTTTCAAACAGTACTTATCAATATGGTAGTCTTAATTGCTTATATTCTTTTTATCTATGTTGAAAAGTTTCCCTCGAATTTTAGTAAATATTATCCTACATGAATTCAGCAAGAAAGATTTTCTTAAGCTTGTAATTATTTTCTCATTAGAAAATATTTTCTTATTTTGGTTTCATGGTATCACTATTTCTTGTGGAATAGTGGAGAAGAGGAAATTATTTATTTCCTGGATGATTGCTGATATTTCTAAGAATTGGAATATATTTTATTTTCATGAATTTAGATGTTTTGGACTAAATTTATAGTAATATACTGCAATACAAAATCCAATGAAAAGAGTCACAGTCAGTTTTTTTATAACTTTATATTGTCTGTAACATGTTTCTATTACAAGTATTGAAGTCTAAGGTGACATGATGGATTCCTTCTCGCTTTGATGTTAAGTGAAAAGCTGCTTTAAGTTTCATTTTTTTGATCACCTGGAAATCTGAAATAAAATAAATTGTAGATTTAACTTTTATATTGGGCTAGAAAGTAAAAAACATTTGTTTTGAAAAATAATTTGTTTTCTGTAATTTTCATATGTGGCTTCAAAATTAAAAATACTTAACCTTATGTGATATTTGACAATAAATCTGTGATTTTTTTTAAAGCAGTGTTTCAGTATTAAGGTTATCAAGTGCTGGATGAAACTCCTCTTTTTGTGTTTGGAGAATGAGATTATACTTAGTATACTGCACAAAGTGGGTACTTAATAGAAACTTTTTACTTGATTTATCATACCTACTGAGTTCTTCCAAATGTTCTGAGTTTTGAGATACAGTTTCCACCGTGGATCCTCGAAACTCTTCTAAAAAAAAATATACAAAGTAAATAGTTTATCATGAACACGGTTTATAGTTATTTTGATCTTGAACCTGGGAATCCCTTTTCAGGGATATCTGTCCTTCACCTATAAACGTGTATGTATCACCAGGGCAGATTGTATTGTACAAAGATGGTCACAGCAATCTCTCCCACTCCACATGTTCCTGTACGGTATGATCTTGTCAATCCCCCATGAAGGAGCAGAATCTAGTTTTCTTCTTGAAATTGAGCTACCCTTAAGACTCTTTTGTGATCAGCTGAATGTGGAGGAAGTGACGAAAATGAGCTCTGGGGCTAGGTCCATAAAAGCTATGCAGCCTCTACCTGGTTATCTTAGGATACTGTTTTTGGAGGAAGTGAATCACCACGTAAGTCCTCATACCCTGAGACTGCCATGCTGGAATGGCCGTGTATAGATGTTCTAGCAGATAGTCCCAGCTGAGTCCAGCCTTCCAGCCATCTTGGCCAAGTCTCCAGCCTGCCAGTGAAGCTGACTTTGACCCTTCAAACCAGCCCATCTGTCAGCTGAATACCATTTAGTGACTTCAATTAATGTCCAGCCGAGCCCTGCTTGAATTCCTAATCCACAGAATTCTTGTGATATAATAAAATGGCTACTGAAAAGGCCACCTTGTTTTGGGTAAGATGACTTTAAAAAATATTACTCAAAAGGAAAATTAATTTAAGGAGCAATATAAAGTACCCAAATAATGAAGTCAAATATGGGAAGTTTATCTATCTATCTATCTATCTATCTATCTATCTATCTATCTACATGTATGTGTGTGTGTGTATACATATAATTACATATATAAACATACATATATAAAAACTTCCCATATCTGGCTTCACTATTATGATATTATGATAATGAAGTCAAATATGGGAAGTTTGTTTATGTAGATATACATGTATAAATGACTTCATGTATCATATACCACATGTGTATATATATATAGAGAGAGCGCCATGTTAATTTGTTACTTAACTTTAACTTTCATATCTCCTCCTTTACCTTTGATTTGAATTCACTGGGATTAATCTAATAAGATGCTGTTTATTCCTGTTTATGACAGGCCCCAGTTTTCAGGCCCTTCATTCTATTTTTTATTACCTTTCGTGTTCTGTCCCCATCTCCTACCCACTGCAATTCCTAAAAGAGTTCTTCTTTGCCTTTTGGAATATTTGATTTATTATTTCAGCAAAATGTCCTATATCTTTACCCTATTTTCTGAAATTCCTTTTACTTTCTTGCTCTAACAGAAATTTGTCTCTTCTCTCAAGATACTATCAGCCCAGAAACCCATTTTTGTTGTATTTTTCTTGGTCTTCTCACTGCTGGACCTGAAGATGGGTTGGTGTCCTCTTTCCTCCTTGTTCTTTCAGGACATTTGCCTTTCCTCTTTCCCTCTCTAACACTCACGTCATTAGATTATACAGTCAACCATTTGTCACTATTGTGATCTACCTACAAGTGGAATCATTCTCACTTGATGTTATCATTGCCTCATTGTCACCACTGCTACAGCAGACCAGCCTTAGGAGCGTGAAGCAGGGCGGGCTCGCCCTCACCTGGGAAGCGAAAGGGGAAAGGAACCCTTTTCCTAGCCAGGGGAACTGAGACGACACAACACCTGGAAAAATCGGTACTACCCCAATACTGCGCTTAAGCAAACAGGCACACCGGAGAATATCCCACACACTGGCTGGGAGGTCCGC